TTTTTCCTTCCTCCCCCCTCTTCCTATTTAAACTTCCGTTTTCTGAAAAAGTCCCATTTGGACCTTCCTTCTTCATGAATATCTTTTCTTTTCTTTTTTCTTTGCTTTAATTTTTTTTTTTGGCATTTTCCCTTGTTTTAATTTTTTTTTTTTTTTTTTTTTCCCTAACCCCCCCCCCCTCCCCCCCCTTCACTTTTATAATGGTCCGTCCCTAATTTTCACTATGATATACTGAATTAATCACTCGCAACTTCAGGCGTTTTTTTTCGGCCGCGCGAATGTTTTGCTCGCGAAAGCGCATGTAAGCAGCCCAAAATACGCCTGCTCTGCAGGCTATAAAACTTCGAGTGGACTGACCAGTTCGGGGTGTTTTTTTAGTTCGAAATTGGCTGTCTAGAGACCGAGTACATGCACCTTTTGTCAAATCCAGACAGATACATAAACATGTCGTTAGCGACTGACATAACGGCCAGAAAATAACATACACCAGGAGCCGTTTTTTTGTGAAATTTGCTTTTGTTAGGAAAGCGACCGTAACTCGGCATCCCTCTAATAGACAAGTGTAGTTTTTTATCCTGCGCAAACCACTGCAAAATATAACATTCTCGCGAAAAAGCGAAAGAACGTTTCAGAACTTTAAAATTCCAATTCCATCAAACGCCTGGCACGCAGATCGTCTGACCAGCAGTTAGAAGGTTCATTTTTTGAGAATACGATGATGCTATGATGAAAACCGATTGCGGGGAATCGCTACTTATGCGATGCCCCGTGTAGTACCACACGAGGAAGTTAGGGGCGCGCTGCGCGCGCAAAAGGAGTTTACTTTGTTAAGTCACAATCATCTTGTTTTTAACTGTAAGACGATTCGAGCTCTGTTGTTGCGCAAAATGTGGAAAAGCACATCTTCCTTCGTCGCAGTTTTTTGGCCGTTGTTTTTAATCGTTATTTGTGAAGGTAAGGCGTCTATTTGCAGCGGCAACTGTTTTTCTTGGAAATTTTCTTAGTTTGCATGGTAGCAAAATAGTTTGTTTGCCTTAAAATCAACCTTCCTTCCTTCGTGGTGCCGTGCGCGGGGGAACTGCGTTCGAACAAGTCATGAGGGTTTTTGTTTACTCCTGATTGGCTATAAACACAAACCAATTTGTTAGCCGATCATACCCTAAACTGAACACAAAAGCAGGCTTTCAAGCTTACTCAGGGAAAGGGTTTTCTAGAAATAAACCTTGTTTGCCTTAAAATCAACCTTCCTTTCTTCGTAGTGCCGTGCTAAAGAAGACAGAATCATAAATCAAAACCGATTGAAAGTTTGTCCTTCGGCCAATCACAAGGCACAAAATCACCTAATGCAACAAACTACGTATATAATGTATATAGTGGCCGGGGACACCAAGCGCGGGAACTGCGTTCGATAAAGTCACGAGGGTTTTTGTTTACTCCTGATTGGCTATAAACACGAACAAATTTGTTAGCCAATCATATCCTAAACTGAAAACAAAAGCAGGCTTTCAAGCTTACGCAGGGAAAGGGTCTTCTAGAAATAAACCTTTCTCTCACCTTTTAAACCTCTTTACAGAAATCTTACGTATTCAATGTTGGAAGTCAAACTCAGGTTTTAAAAAAGTAATTAGAGCTTCAAGCTTATGCTGTGCAAACTGTTATCGCTTCGTTACAGTGCCCCAACAAATTTTCCATCATTGCAGGGGAGCTGCAGGTTTTGCCAGTAAAGAATCACGCATCTTTGTGTATAGGGGATTCCGTATCTCTTGAAGTAGAAATTACTGGCGCTCAAGGGCAACCAAATGTACAGTGGTCTCATGGACAAAGTCTTTTGGACGACAGCGAGCATTATTCTTCAAATTCCAATGGGACAGTTCTGGATATAAGCAATGCTTTGCCTCTGCATGCTGGGACATACTATGCTACGGTTACAGACGGAGTTTCTTCTGAATATGCGATTTTTAACGTGGAAGTTCATGGTAATAAAAACAACTTCTTATCTTCCCTAAAAGTTTTTAAAAAGTTTTGCTATGCCGTAACACCTACAAAGTACGCACAATTTCTTTTTTGCTTTTCGCTCTTTTGCTTCGTTAATTGAGTTCAACAATAATTAATACCCAACATTTAAAATTCCGCCAGAAACATAAAGTTTCCTATAGGTCTACTATTAGTTAACTAAAGGAATTGTAATAATCAGAAAATTGTTTCATTTATAGGAATTGCATGGCAAAGCATTGCGAGCGCAATTCTGTTTGAACAAAATAATAGAAATTTAAAGGAGACTATTTTGACGAGAATCAGATGTCCACAACGTTGATAGCCTGGACACAGACGTTGTTTGTTTTTCTTTTCGATATTCGAAGAGCGTGGAGCACGGGAACGAACCAACCCAACCCCCATCCCATTGCGCTTGAGGTCAATAAAATCCCCCTCGGTGTAATATTCATATGCTCGTTCGACGATCTCCTGAGAGAAAAAATTGAGGGTCTGTGAACAGGCTACAACGTCAAACGCCCATAAGTAAACGCTTATAGATAACCTGCGTGTAAGCTCGTAATTCTCACTTCTCCTTTCGTGTGTTGCTTACGCGTGACTTAATGAAAAGCTTGCTTGCAGCCGGGCTAATTTACCGCGCAGACGATGGACGCTGTGAAATGATGAGCTCCCGTTAGGAGGCAATGAGTGGCCATTCTGTATCTTAGTGTTACTATCAAAATCTTCTTTTAGATACCTACCTTCGCACTTTGATCAAGAGTCCTTTAATAATTCAACTTGGTGGCACAGGCGTGTTAAAGGTCGAGAAATCCGACGGCGGAATTTTATGGTGGATACACCAGGGAGACATTGTAAGAGGACAGAACAGCCACTACAAGTTCTTGGACACCTTAGGATCAACGGGGACAGAGTTAGAAATTTCCAACGCCGGCGTAGAGCAAGCTGGATTTTATGAGGTGGTGTTGAAAGAAGCGGGTTGCGAAATAAGAAACGTGTTTGATGTGCAGATAGAGGGTGAGTAGTATGAAACAAGTGGGGGATCTTGAAGGGGGAGATCCGAGGGTGCAAGGTTCCTCCATGTAGCTTGTTATATATGGTGTAAATAATAATTCACATTTTTGAATTAACTGGAAAACGTTGATGTTCCAGCTGGTATAAGACTCCAAATGAAAAAATGTTTATTGTCTATTTTAGGCCAAACTCCCGGGGGGCTACTTCAGGAATTTCTGGGTGGGGATGTGCCGCTGGGACCCTGGAACCCCTAACCTATACCAGAGCTAGTTCAGCTGAATTTTGCTACCCTATACTAGAGTAAACTCCCCAAATCCCCCTTATCCTAGAGTAGCTGTTTTCCAGAAACTACTGAGGTCACTAGCACAGTCTAGCCAAAACAAAACCTTATACCACAATCCCTAGTCTAGATAAAATCTTCAACCAACTGATTAGTTTTCTGAAAAATGATACCCTATTCTAGACCCAAACGCTCTGATTTATATACCCTATCNGGTTTTTGTTTACTCCTGATTGGCTATAAACACAAACCAATTTGTTAGCCGATCATACCCTAAACTGAACACAAAAGCAGGCTTTCAAGCTTACTCAGGGAAAGGGTTTTCTAGAAATAAACCTTGTTTGCCTTAAAATCAACCTTCCTTTCTTCGTAGTGCCGTGCTAAAGAAGACAGAATCATAAATCAAAACCGATTGAAAGTTTGTCCTTCGGCCAATCACAAGGCACAAAATCACCTAATGCAACAAACTACGTATATAATGTATATAGTGGCCGGGGACACCAAGCGCGGGAACTGCGTTCGATAAAGTCACGAGGGTTTTTGTTTACTCCTGATTGGCTATAAACACGAACAAATTTGTTAGCCAATCATATCCTAAACTGAAAACAAAAGCAGGCTTTCAAGCTTACGCAGGGAAAGGGTCTTCTAGAAATAAACCTTTCTCTCACCTTTTAAACCTCTTTACAGAAATCTTACGTATTCAATGTTGGAAGTCAAACTCAGGTTTTAAAAAAGTAATTAGAGCTTCAAGCTTATGCTGTGCAAACTGTTATCGCTTCGTTACAGTGCCCCAACAAATTTTCCATCATTGCAGGGGAGCTGCAGGTTTTGCCAGTAAAGAATCACGCATCTTTGTGTATAGGGGATTCCGTATCTCTTGAAGTAGAAATTACTGGCGCTCAAGGGCAACCAAATGTACAGTGGTCTCATGGACAAAGTCTTTTGGACGACAGCGAGCATTATTCTTCAAATTCCAATGGGACAGTTCTGGATATAAGCAATGCTTTGCCTCTGCATGCTGGGACATACTATGCTACGGTTACAGACGGAGTTTCTTCTGAATATGCGATTTTCAACGTGGAAGTTCATGGTAATAAAAACAACTTCTTATCTTCCCTAAAAGTTTTTAAAAAGTTTTGCTATGCCGTAACACCTACAAAGTACGCACAATTTCTTTTTTGCTTTTCGCTCTTTTGCTTCGTTAATTGAGTTCAACAATAATTAATACCCAACATTTAAAATTCCGCCAGAAACATAAAGTTTCCTATAGGTCTACTATTAGTTAACTAAAGGAATTGTAATAATCAGAAAATTGTTTCATTTATAGGAATTGCATGGCAAAGCATTGCGAGCGCAATTCTGTTTGAACAAAATAATAGAAATTTAAAGGAGACTATTTTGACGAGAATCAGATGTCCACAACGTTGATAGCCTGGACACAGACGTTGTTTGTTTTTCTTTTCGATATTCGAAGAGCGTGGAGCACGGGAACGAACCAACCCAACCCCCATCCCATTGCGCTTAAGGTCAATAAAATCCCCCTCAGTGTAATATTCATATGCTCGTTCGACGATCTCCTGAGAGAAAATTGAGGGTCTGTGAACAGGCTACAACGTCAAACGCCCATAAGTAAACGCTTATAGATAACCTGCGTGTAAGCTCGTAATTCTCACTTCTCCTTTCGTGTGTTGCTTACGCGTGACTTAATGAAAAGCTTGCTTGCAGCCGGGCTAATTTACCGCGCAGACGATGGACGCTGTGAAATGATGAGCTCCCGTTAGGAGGCAATGAGTGGCCATTCTGTATCTTAGTGTTACTATCAAAATCTTCTTTTAGATACCTACCTTCGCACTTTGATCAAGAGTCCTTTAATAATTCAACTTGGTGGCACAGGCGTGTTAAAGGTCGAGAAATCCGACGGCGGAATTTTATGGTGGATACACCAGGGAGACATTGTAAGAGGACAGAACAGCCACTACAAGTTCTTGGACACCTTAGGATCAACGGGGACAGAGTTAGAAATTTCCAACGCCGGCGTAGAGCAAGCTGGATTTTATGAGGTGGTGTTGAAAGAAGCGGGTTGCGAAATAAGAAACGTGTTTGATGTGCAGATAGAGGGTGAGTAGTATGAACCAAGTGGGGGATCTTGAAGGGGGAGATCCGAGGGTGCAAGGTTCCTCCATGTAGCTTGTTATATATGGTGTAAATAATAATTCACATTTTTGAATTAACTGGAAACGTTGATGTTCCAGCTGGTATAAGACTCCAAATGAAAAAAATGTTTATTGTCTATTTTAGGCCAAACTCCCGGGGGGCTACTTTAGGAATTTCTGGGTGGGGATGTGCCGCTGGGACCCTGGAACCCCTAACCTATACCAGAGCTAGTTCAGCTGAATTTTGCTACCCTATACTAGAGTAAACTCCCCAAATCCCCCTTATCCTAGAGTAGCTGTTTTCCAGAAACTACTGAGGTCACTAGCACAGTCTAGCCAAAACAAAACCTTATACCACAATCCCTAGTCTAGATAAAATCTTCAACCAACTGATTAGTTTTCTGAAAAATGATACCCTATTCTAGACCCAAACGCTCTGATTTATATACCCTATCGTAGAGTAAACTGCTAGAAAACCATACCCTTCACAGCGGCACATACCTATATAGCCCATATATGGCAGTACCCCCCCGGGGCCAAACTGAAGTCTGCGCCCTTCCTCCGCCTCTTAGGCCATGTTCACACTATATAGTCGTTCTCACACATGGAATGTTGGACGGAATAGTCATCGATCAATCCTGAATATTTACTTCCCTTCAAGGGGATTCCAGTTCCTCCCGCTACTTATTCATTTCTGCTGCGGTCCGAATACCTGGTCAAACTTCACCGAGGTAGCACAAAGAACCTTTCCGATATGTGATGCTCCACTCGCGCCGAAATCAACGTTCTTATGTGTGAACAGACACGGTGGACAAACAGGACACCAAATGTGGCCACTTACGAACTACTTTTGCAGTGTTTATCCGTTTGAGTTCAAAATTTAGAGGATGGTAGAACTTTGCATTCCAAACAGTCGTATGTTTTTTTGTTTTTCGATTTTAACGGTTTTTGGCGGGAAAATGACGTCACAAGATTGACAGCAAAATTTAAATTTTAACTAATGGCCTAACAAATTGAGCGTTTTCACTCACGTGACCAGCATCTATGCAAATTTAATTGAAACAAAAAAAAAACGTTTACATAAGAAAAGAGTTCAACTCCCACAAGATTTTTTTGGGAAACCAACATGGTCACCGTTTTATTGTTTTGGAACACCAATATGGCCTCCGTGACGTCATGTGAAAACGCTCGGTAGGTAATTTTGAAAGAGAGTGAAGAGATTGAAACAAATGTGAAAAAATTTGTTGAAAAGGTCAGTTGGTTAAAGAATTATTTTAAGCCTTGATGTTTGAAATTGCCGCCATTTTGTTACTATTTTTAGAAACAAAAGCACATTTCGAAATGCTATATCTCCTAAATCAACTGAGTTTTTCAAATTTTCGTATTTGTTTCTATCCCTACTTCAAAATTACCTATTTGTTGCGCCATCAGTTGAAATAAAATTTTGCTGTCAATCTTGTGACGTCATTTTCCGCCAAAAAACGTACGATTGTTTGGAATACAAAGTTCAACCATCCTGCAAACTTTGAACTCAAACAAATAAAAACTGAGAGTTAGTTCCTAAGTGGCCACATTTGGCGTCCTGGCCCGGGTTTCTCGAAGCATGGTTAGTGCTAACCAGCGTTAAATACCATGGAAACCTATACATTTTGATACCTCTTAACCAACGGTTAGCGCTAACCAGGTTTCGAGCAACCCGGGCCTGTTAGCCCACAGTGAGAAATTTTCGTGTCAGCGCCAGAGTCAACCGGTATAGTGAACATAGCTTTGGGGCCTGGATGAGTTGAAGATCTAGTTGAGCCGCCACTGTTAAAGGTTCAGTTTCTAATAAAAGTTGGCGTAGTATCCGCGAGGGTGCGAAGCATAAATTTTGGCTTTAATAACTGAGTTGATAAAGTCAGTTTGCCTCCTCAACTCTTTAAAGTCCAAGGCTGACGAACATCAGTTTTCTCCGAACAAAGGCATACAAGATCAAGAGGAAAGGTTATGAGAATTGATGTAGGGTAGACCGCGAGCGGTTGTTCGTTCTTCTTTCTTTAGAGCCACATGCGGCGAGGAAAAAAGTAAAATTTTGCAAACTAATGGTAAAAAGGAGAAGAGATTGAGGCGGAGGGAGGAAAAGGATTTCCTGTATCAGGCCTGTGCCCTCGTTTCGTTCCTCACTCGCCCCTTGGGTGTACTCGAAGTAATAATAGGAGACAAGAGAGGATAAAGGGGACAGAGAAGGCATCCCCCATACACACCCTATTCCATAGGTAATTCGTCTCGAGTTATTTTTAAGACCACAGATCCCAAGGGGCATTAGACAACAGCCAATCACATAGCGCGAATGTGTTCCGCGTGGATGACCCACGCTCAGAGCCACGCGTCCTTCACGAATTGACGCAGAACAAAATGGTTGAGAGCGATATTGCTATTCGTTGTGTCGACGAAAACGACTACAGAAAGATTTCTGCTAAAGCCGTGTCAGCGAAACGGAAATTAAAAAAGAATGGCCCTTCCTCTCTTGTATAGAGCTGACAGTACAGCAGGGAAATCCTTAAGACACTGAATATTCTCTCAGGATCATTTATAATTTACAGTTTGAAGAGAGCAATTTCTGGTTTGATATTTATTCTTTTATTTGTCTTTCATTATTCAACAAAAATAACACTTGGCGTCCTACTGGCGTACCAACGACCGGTTTCAATAGACCAGCGAAATATCTCATTTTATTAAAGCACTGAGGTTACGACAACTTCGAGTTAAACTAATTTCACGGATTGTCAAAGAGTCCATCGATTCCCTTTTCCCAGGTGAGCGCCGGTTCATTTCGCTTCAATATTCAGGAACGCTCTCAATGCTTTTCTCCCGACATGTTTTGCACGGCGTTTAGTCATGCGAAACCTCCAGGAAACATCCTTACAGCGCGCCGCGAGGTAACTTTATCCCGATTCTAAAAATCACTCGAGACGAATTACCTATGGAATAGGGTGTGTATGGGGGATGCCTTCTCTGTCCCCTTTATCCTCTCTTGTAGAAGATTGTTTGTTCGCAGTTTGGTCATAGGGGAAATGCTTTGATCTATTTAATTAAACTCTTAACTACATGAAGTTAAATTTGATGAGATTAGTCTCGAAAATTTGTTTGTGGATATCGCTGCTTAGGGGTTTAACAGATTCATGATCAAAAGCTGACGTTTTGGACGCTGACTCTTTTTTCAGAGAGATTAAAAAATACGGTGGGTGGTATTGTTGTATTGAAAACTGCATCGACAAGTGCCGGTTTGGGTAGCTTTTTACTATCATGTGCTGAGCCTAATAATAAACCCTCTTTGAGAGAACCTGGGACGAAAAACTGCGTTGCGCAAACTAGCTCAAACTATTAGAGAATAGCAGTGAAATTCTTAAACGTCTTCATCTGAAAAGGCTACCTGTTTCCATCCATGTTCCGCAAAAGTGTTGTTGAGAATGTTTCTGCACGATTACTCAGCTAATTATAACCACAGTACATTGGACTTTTAAAATGATATTAGCCACGACGCAAAGTTACAAAAGTGTAAATCGGGCTCATTTTGCTCGTTTGGTTATAAGCATTTAGGATATGGTTAATTGGGAACTTGCAGTGATGCAGCAAAATGATTACTAAATAATTGCATTGTAATTATTTTAGTGCCAGAGGAAGAGAAAGAGGAAGAAATTTCAGTGGCTTCAAATACGACAGGTGAGAAACTTGTTACGGCACCTTCCATCATTCCCGGGGGGTACTCCCTATGATAGCCTATGCGTGGAGGCTCCGCCCGAAAGGGGTATCTTTTTCAGGCCTCAGGTATATGAAAGGATAAGGAAATCTGTCATTTGGGTGTGTGTAAGAGCTAACAGATGACTTTTATGGCTTTATAAAGTCGAGAAAACGTTCTATTTTTGTGATTGATTCATATAACAGCGGTTAAAAGGGATACAAAGTTCTAAACAAGGTACTTGAAAGGGGCATCATTTGTCAATAGAAGGTATACGAAAGGGGTACCTTTTTCGTGAAAAATGGTAAATAAATAGCTGAATAGCTGCAATAGCTGAACTATCCGGGGCGGAGCCTCCCCGTATAAACATTTGTTGCGTAATCCCCCCGCCCCGGTCATCATTTCCCTAAAGGTTTGTGAAAACTAAAATAGTTGATAACCAATGGGTAAAGAAACCATTATACAGTGACTGCTGAGCAGTCTGCAATGGCGGAACTAGAAAAAGGGCCGGATAAACAAACTCCCTATGGCCTTACTTGTACACCAAATGCAAGGGCCGTAAGGATCACCTTGCGAGATCAGCTTCGTTTCGTTTTAAAAGCCTCCATCACTTAAACTGACTGAAGGTCTTTATCTGCCAGTGATATGAAGACTTTTTGCCTATTATCAGCCTGGTCTGTGTGTGTGTTCCATCTCGAGAGGATAAAGGTCCATCAAGTCGATGACCTTTAAAGTCCACTTATTAAACACTTTATAGATTGTGTCAAGTCTTGCTTTGTTGCATGTTACTCTTCTCTGTATAACAGCTTAAACAATTCAACCTTCACTGCTTGCTATAGACACTGTTTTTCCAAGTGGGAACTCAAGGAGTCGACACTAGTTGACAAGTGAGCCTCCCTCTGCCACTTCTTCAATTCTCCTACCACAATGTATTATTTGTTCTCTTACCCTAGACGAATTTATCGTCAATAGAAATCTGTTAATAATAATTAATCGAATAACCAGTTTCGTCCTTCCTTTCACGAAACCTGTAGCATGCTACTCTACCTTAAAAAAAGACAATGGTTTTTTTTTTTATTTTTCATTTCAGAGCCTGTCAAGTTATGGGGTATTATTGACTACAAATACCTTAAGGTATTCAGTGGAGATTTTACTGGCGAATGGTACGTTGTACCAAGTGTCTTGGGTCCCATTGTCATTTTACTTCTGGTGTTTATTGTTTGCCTGATTAGAAGGGCAGCAACTAAAAAGCGGTAAGTTGACATACTTTCTGAAAGCAGCAGGTAATGCCGTGTTCTTTCCACGCATGTTCAGAAATTTCGGAAAACTCGGAACTCAGTTACTTCATACAATACACACAAATTAATATTTGTAATTTCCATATGACTTCATGTAGACAGAATTGTTTACGTTTAAGTGAGGATTGGGGCTAGGGGACACTTCATGATGTTTATCATAAGGGGGATGAATCCCATTCGGCCCCGAATCCTGGTCATACGTGTATCTGATGTCTTCAGGTTGTCTCTTTCCGTCCAACACCACGTAATGACCAGACTTGTCATTCCAACTTTTTAAACTCTGAACGAAATCCTATGGTGTTACCGTCCAAATTAAACTTCTTGGAAGAACGTTTGAAAATCACTTTTTAGTTCTTTGAATTTTACAAAAGGAATTTGAATTTTTTTGGCGATTTTTTTCTTGCCAGCTATAAGGAGTGAAAGGGTTAAGGAGAGTGACGTCATTTGAGTAATGATAAAGATAATGCTACAGGAGCCCTCAAAAGAAACTCTTTTCAATGGATAACGAAAAAAGCAAACGAGCGTTTATCTCTGCTAAGAAGTAAACGTTTTTCCCTGCACATTTAGCGCAAAAATTTGTATTATTTTGTTAAACAACATGTTCGCTTTATGATGTGGCTGCTGGTGGTTTTGCACTGTTCGAAGGTCATTGTTTGCCTTTCGCACTGTTCTATATTATAACTCGAGTGTAGTTTACAGAAAAACCTTTGTGAAAGTGCCCCTGAACGAGAGAGTTTACTTACTGTCCTGTACTTTGGTTACAGTCCCAAGAAAGAAAAAAGCGAAGTCAAGAAGGAGCCCAAAGTCACAACTCATGTGGTGATTGAAAAGCCTGTATACACAGTACAAAAACAGGTTTTAGACCCGGTGTACTATCCAACCACTGATCCAGTTTTCGATATTGCACCTGTTACGTCAAGTCATCCCCAGTCTTCCAGCCTGGGTGCATACGGTGATATGTCCATGTATGGTAATGGAATGTCTACTTATGGTACCATGCTTGGGTCACCTGTGCCACCACCAACTCCAGAATTAAATAGAACTTACAGCGCCTCGAGCGATCTTGAATTTTTAAGTGATGATGGCGATGACTAGATTCACAACTTGTACGTACGACTAATAGTCATCGCTAAACATTTGTCTTTCTTGAAATATTCTGGTGTATTGTTCAGTTTGGAAAGAAATAAACAGACAGGCGAAGTTTGGGGTTGAATTTTACCTCCATTTTCTTTCCTGGTCGGGTCCTCATAGTTGCTAAAAGTCTGTCTGCTTAGTATTAGTTTATAAAATTGGATTCCAGAGATATAGTCGAATTTTCATTGTTGAAACGCTTTTTAGTGCTACTTTCATGGCGATATATGTCCTTTAATCCTTGAAACGTCGTTATGACATCTTAAGCAAAAACTTTCATGCGACCTTTTATGAACTGCTCCATCATTTTTGCATCCGTAGCCCTGTCTTTAAGTCTATGTATATGAAATCTTCATGTGCAATAATCTCAAATCGATTTAAAAGGAGACTCCTCTACACATGTTCAATTTGTTAACTGAATCCCATAAATGATGTTTAAATACATGACATCCAAAAAATTGGAAAACAGATAAGTAGAATTATTTTTTTTTATTTTCAAGCCGATTTTACATCTACGGACCTAACTGTTGTGTACTGTCTTGCCGCTTATTAGTGGTTACGTCTATATAAAGTTAGGTTACTGAACCACGCCACTACACTCCGAGTTTGATGGTGGATGCCGCCTAGGGCAGCCTCTTGCAGACTATACCACAAGGGTACGTTGGATGCCAACAGGAGAGGTCATTCCAGTAGCCATTAATTCCTGGGGCGGTTAGATGTTTAATCCACATGTTGCTGCATGGTTCACTGGCTTTTCCATTCGGTTCACCTGACGCCCATTTCGTGTAATTCGGAACCGAATCGTCAGACCAGATAAATTGGCTTGTTACCCACTTAAGACCGATCCAAACCTGTTTCAACGATGGCTCGTGTTCATGGACCAGCTTTAATACAAATTCGTTTTCTTCGTTGCTGTTTATGTTTACCAGCTCTCCTCCTAGTCTTTTGCAATACGCTTGGGCCTTGTGCCAAGTCTTAATAGCGCTACTCACAAAGTAACAATAACCACTTTTGAAATGCATCCAGCCACTAGGACACGGGCCTTTTAGAGATGAAAAAAAATGAAAAAGACGATACTTTTTTGTAAAAATCAAAAAACCTTTCACGGGATGGACTTGAATTGAGATTAGTTTTGCATGAATTTACTTACCAAATTTAAGCAATCTTTCAATATTTCGCAGGGTTTTCAGTAATGCGGGTCCATTAGCATCTCTCTTGGCATTATTGTCCGTATTAACTGTAAGAAAGAAAGCCCACATTTTTAAAAAAAATATTATAAAAAGAGATCTGAGGGGAATATGTTAACAATTTTGGCACTAGGCTAGCGTTGTGATGAACTAAACAAAAGATTCTCTGGCAGGATAGTTGCTTTTTGTCTTAGTATTGAAATACGAAATGAGATTGGTAGTTTTTATTCAGAATAAATTTCCCAGTCAAAATCACCCTTTTAGTGGTACATATCTTTAAAGACCTTGTGTCCGCGAAGTTTTTCCCGTCGATTTATATTTTAGTCTAATTCTCCCTTACCTCCCGGAGCAGACAAAATTAGCACCAAAATGTGGGGCGTATAATTGAGACTCTCAAGTGAAGCTAGCCAAGCTATTTCAACGACCCTGAGTATCCTCATTTGAGCTTAATTTAAGCGTAAAAGTGATTCCAATCTTACAGAAGAACAATTAACTGAAATTTACAGTAACGTTAATAGAGTCTTATCCTGACTCGTTCCTTTCTAGATCTGATTTGATCTGAGGTGTGGAGTCACTGGGTCTCTCTCACAGTCCACTCAAACGAAAAACACTCCACCTGGCAAATATATTCTATACCTTCTTGTTGTTATTCGATACCGTTTGACGCATAAGAGTTTTTTTTTCCGGCATTTTTCTGATGGTTGATTCACTCTCAGAGAATAGCCAATCGTAGAAGGAAGTTTAATTTTTTTGACAGTTTTATTACAGTAGTTTGAAAGAGTTCATTTCTAATCAGAACAGAAGTTTCAAGGACCCGAGGTTCAGGTCTTTCAAAAAACGCACACGCAGTGAACTTTCACAGAAGCATTCAGCCGCGCAACATTCGAACTGTTTAACTTTACCTGTGACCCAGAAAACCGCGAAGAGGAGCGGAAAATAAAAGGCAATTTCATCTCAGTCAGCAGCTGTCTCACTACTGTGTGATGATCTCTAGAATCGCGTCTTGCTGCACGAGAGTTTCTCTCCGGCCGTCCTCAAAATGACTCATAGAATATTTTTTTTGAATCTATATTTTTACATCTCAGCTCCAAAACAAGCAAAAACAAGATCCATTGATCAACGCAAGCATGCGTGTGAAAAATAAGTAAACATAAACTTGTAAATGTATTAACTTATCAACTGCCCTGTTTCAACTTTTACTTTCAATGCTAGTGGGTAAATTCTTCTAACATTGAAAACAAATACAAAAAGATAGCTAACTTTAAGTTTTAGAGTGACAAAATTGTTGTCGATGACGATTGCTCAATTTAATTCAATTTATTCACAAAAAGTGTGCATATTTAAATTACCCTTAAATTTATAACGTATTACTCTATTTTACGGAGTAATAAACTTTTTCACCACAATACACCTGTTCGTTAAAAATGGTGGTTGGCAAGATCTAACGTTGTGCTCAAGATATACTGATTCAAATATTTCCATTTGAATCTAGCTTTTTAAAAACAAGAGATAAAACTTATTTTTTTCCATACAATAGAGTGCATTGTTAGGTCTTATTAAGGAACTTCAAGATTCAAAAGCTACGAGAACGTAATAAAAACAATAGGTTTAATGAGCAAAACAACAACTTTGCACGTGAAACACACTTTTTGGTGAATGTCTTTGCCGTTTTTGCACGACTACAACATGAAACTACCTCATTTCGCGTTTTATGGAGAACGTAAACAAGCCACGACGAAATGTTATTACTGTTTCTGAACTTCGATATCGTCCCTTATTCAACGTCAGGAGGGTTTGCCTACATTTTACGAGGTGAGTGGTTAGGAATAATCGCGATGAAGACTGAAAGATTTTTTAAGCAATGTTCTCGTTGTCGTAGCGTTGTTGGCTAATTACATGCAGTTAATTCTTGAATTAAATTCAGCACATGTGAAATTTGACATTTGAACTGGGCCTAAAATGAAAATCAGTGAAAGGACTTCAGGGAAAACTCACTAAGCACCATGCATATGATGAATCCCATTCGGCCCCGAATCCTGGTCATACGTGTATCTGATGTCTTCAGGTTGTCTCTTTCCGTCCAACACCACGTAATGACCAGACTTGTCATTCCAACTTTTTAAACTCTGAACGAAATCCTATGGTGTTACCGCCCAAATTAAACTTCTTGGAAGAACGTTTGAAAATCACTTTTTAGTTCTTTGGATTTTACGAAAAGGAATTTGAATTTTTTTTGCGAATTTTTTCTTGCCAGCTATTAGGAGTGAAAGGGTTAAGGAGAGTGACGTCATTTCAGTAATGATAAAGATAATGCTACCCCTACAGGAGCCCTCAAAAGAAACTGTTTTCGTTGGATGACGAAAAAAACAAGCGAGTGTTTATCTCTGCTAAAAAGCAAACGTTTTTCCCTTCGCATTTAGCGCAAAAATTCGTATTATCTTGTTAAACAACATGATCACTTTGTGATGTGGCTGCTTGTGGTTTTGCACTGTTCGAAGGTCATTGTTTGCCTTACGCACTGTTCTATATTATAACTCGAGTGTAGTTTACAGGAAAACCTTTGTGAAAGTGCCCCTGAACGAGAGAGTTTACTTACTGTCCTGTACTTTGGTTACAGTCCCAAGAAAGAAAAAAGCGAAGTCAAGAAGGAGCCCAAAGTCACAACTCATGTGGTGATTGAAAAGCCTGTATACACAGTACAAAAACAGGTTTTAGACCCGGTGTACTATCCAACCACTGATCCAGTTTTCGATATTGCACCTGTTACGTCAAGTCATCCCCAGTCTTCCAGCCTGGGTGCATACGGTGATATGTCCATGTATGGTAATGGAATGTCTACTTATGGTACCATGCTTGGGTCACCTGTGCCACCACCAACTCCAGAATTAAATAGAACTTACAGCGCCTCGAGCGATCTTGAATTTTTAAGTGATGATGGCGATGACTAGATTCACAACTTGTACGTACGACTAATAGTCATCGCTAAACATTTGTCTTTCTTGAAATATTCTGGTGTATTGTTCAGTTTGGAAAGAAATAAACAGACAGGCGAAGTTTGGGGTTGAATTTTACCTCCATTTTCTTTCCTGGTCGGGTCCTCATAGTTGCTAAAAGTCTGTCTGCTTAGTATTAGTTTATAAAATTGGATTCCAGAGATATAGTCGAATTTTCATTGTTGAAACGCTTTTTAGTGCTACTTTCATGGCGATATATGTCCTTTAATCCTTGAAACGTCGTTATGACATCTTAAGCAAAAACTTTCATGCGACCTTTTATGAACTGCTCCATCATTTTTGCATCCGTAGCCCTGTCTTTAAGTCTATGTATATGAAATCTTCATGTGCAATAATCTCAAATCGATTTAAAAGGAGACTCCTCTACACATGTTCAATTTGTTAACTGAATCCCATAAATGATGTTTAAATACATGACATCCAAAAAATTGGAAAACAGATAAGTAGAATTATTTTTTTTTTATTTTCAAGCCGATTTTACATCTACGCACCTAACTGTTGTGTACTGTCTTGCCGCTTATTAGTGGTTACGTCTATATAAAGTTAGGTTACTGAACCACGCCACTACACTCCGAGTTTGATGGTGGATGCCGCCTAGGGCAGCCTCTTGCAGACTATACCACAAGGGTACGTTGGATGCCAACAGGAGAGGTCATTCCAGTAGCCATTAATTCCTGGGGCGGTTAGATGTTTAATCCACATGTTGCTGCATGGTTCACTGGCTTTTCCATTCGGTTCACCTGACGCCCATTTCGTGTAATTCGGAACCGAATCGTCAGACCAGATAAATTGGCTTGTTACCCACTTAAGACCGATCCAAACCTGTTTCAACGATGGCTCGTGTTCATGGACCAGCTTTAATACAAATTCGTTTTCTTCGTTGCTGTTTATGTTTACCAGCTCTCCTCCTAGTCTTTTGCAATACGCTTGGGCCTTGTGCCAAGTCTTAATAGCGCTACTCACAAAGTAACAATAACCACTTTTGAAATGCATCCAGCCACTAGGACACGGGCCTTTTAGAGATGAAAAAAAATGAAAAAGACGATACTTTTTTGTAAAAATCAAAAAACCTTTCACGGGATGGACTTGAATTGAGATTAGTTTTGCATGAATTTACTTACCAAATTTAAGCAATCTTTCAATATTTCGCAGGGTTTTCAGTAATGCGGGTCCATTAGCATCTCTCTTGGCATTATTGTCCGTATTAACTGTAAGAAAGAAAGCCCACATTTTTAAAAAAAATATTATAAAAAGAGATCTGAGGGGAATATGTTAACAATTTTGGCACTAGGCTAGCGTTGTGATGAACTAAACAAAAGATTCTCTGGCAGGATAGTTGCTTTTTGTCTTAGTATTGAAATACGAAATGAGATTGGTAGTTTTTATTCAGAATAAATTTCCCAGTCAAAATCACCCTTTTAGTGGTACATATCTTTAAAGACCTTGTGTCCGCGAAGTTTTTCCCGTCGATTTATATTTTAGTCTAATTCTCCCTTACCTCCCGGAGCAGACAAAATTAGCACCAAAATGTGGGGCGTATAATTGAGACTCTCAAGTGAAGCTAGCCAAGCTATTTCAACGACCCTGAGTATCCTCATTTGAGCTTAATTTAAGCGTAAAAGTGATTCCAATCTTACAGAAGAACAATTAACTGAAATTTACAGTAACGTTAATAGAGTCTTATCCTGACTCGTTCCTTTCTAGATCTGATTTGATCTGAGGTGTGGAGTCACTGGGTCTCTCTCACAGTCCACTCAAACGAAAAACACTCCACCTGGCAAATATATTCTATACCTTCTTGTTGTTATTCGATACCGTTTGACGCATAAGAGTTTTTTTTTCCGGCATTTTTCTGATGGTTGATTCACTCTCAGAGAATAGCCAATCGTAGAAGGAAGTTTAATTTTTTTGACAGTTTTATTACAGTAGTTTGAAAGAGTTCATTTCTAATCAGAACAGAAGTTTCAAGGACCCGAGGTTCAGGTCTTTCAAAAAACGCACACGCAGTGAACTTTCACAGAAGCATTCAGCCGCGCAACATTCGAACTGTTTAACTTTACCTGTGACCCAGAAAACCGCGAAGAGGAGCGGAAAATAAAAGGCAATTTCATCTCAGTCAGCAGCTGTCTCACTACTGTGTGATGATCTCTAGAATCGCGTCTTGCTGCACGAGAGTTTCTCTCCGGCCGTCCTCAAAATGACTCATAGAATATTTTTTTTGAATCTATATTTTTACATCTCAGCTCCAAAACAAGCAAAAACAAGATCCATTGATCAACGCAAGCATGCGTGTGAAAAATAAGTAAACATAAACTTGTAAATGTATTAACTTATCAACTGCCCTGTTTCAACTTTTACTTTCAATGCTAGTGGGTAAATTCTTCTAACATTGAAAACAAATACAAAAAGATAGCTAACTTTAAGTTTTAGAGTGACAAAATTGTTGTCGATGACGATTGCTCAATTTAATTCAATTTATTCACAAAAAGTGTGCATATTTAAATTACCCTTAAATTTATAACGTATTACTCTATTTTACGGAGTAATAAACTTTTTCACCACAATACACCTGTTCGTTAAAAATGGTGGTTGGCAAGATCTAACGTTGTGCTCAAGATATACTGATTCAAATATTTCCATTTGAATCTAGCTTTTTAAAAACAAGAGATAAAACTTATTTTTTTCCATACAATAGAGTGCATTGTTAGGTCTTATTAAGGAACTTCAAGATTCAAAAGCTACGAGAACGTAATAAAAACAATAGGTTTAATGAGCAAAACAACAACTTTGCACGTGAAACACACTTTTTGGTGAATGTCTTTGCCGTTTTTGCACGACTACAACATGAAACTACCTCATTTCGCGTTTTATGGAGAACGTAAACAAGCCACGACGAAATGTTATTACTGTTTCTGAACTTCGATATCGTCCCTTATTCAACGTCAGGAGGGTTTGCCTACATTTTACGAGGTGAGTGGTTAGGAATAATCGCGATGAAGACTGAAAGATTTTTTAAGCAATGTTCTCGTTGTCGTAGCGTTGTTGGCTAATTACATGCAGTTAATTCTTGAATTAAATTCAGCACATGTGAAATTTGACATTTGAACTGGGCCTAAAATGAAAATCAGTGAAAGGACTTCAGGGAAAACTCACTAAGCACCATGCATATGACTGCTCATTAAAGAGTATGATATTCTTCAAACTGGGCTACTCGGTGTTCACTTGATTATCAGACAGGCCATCAAGCATAAACACAAGGATACACTGTAGGAGAGAACCGAATTTGAAAACAAATTATAACTCTACACGGAGATTTCTACACCCCATTGTTATAATCCAAAGGTGAGGGATAACGTGAGTCCATGTTCAAAATCATCAAAATTTGGGTTCCAGAAAATATCCATACCCACTCTATGGAGCGTTATGCAAAATTCCAAAGGAAAGGGGGTCTCAGGCCAAGTACCTTACGAGCTGTGCGACCAAGGGACGCTACATAGCATCTGGCGCGCTGGCAAGGTATAAGCCAAGGAAAGAATAAGCATGAACTGGGATTTCCAGAGGGTTAGGGGTTAAAATTAAACCAAAATAGAAACTCAAGGTCTCTGGGAGGAATATGGATATTTTCTAGCACAATACCATCACACAAAACCCATATTATCTTCTTTAACATTCCAAAAGGTATCAGTGTTTGAATATGTGAAATCCTATCTTAAATTAAGAAATATATACTCGTTCAGTAGAAATTGTTAAAAGGACTGAGCGATTTCCAAAATCTCATTAATTATCACAATAATTTACATGTTAGTGATATAATTTGGCCGGGAAATACACAAGCTGATTCCACAAATGTCAGCGATGCAAACAACCTCATAAATGCTAAAAACCATTCCAGAAAGAAACCTTATTAAAATGATGTTAAAATGATGTTATTTTAAAAAATTAATCCAAAATTATTTTTACAGTCATTATCACAACAAATACAGCACATACCCCAAATATTTGTCGTACAACACTTGTTCCCGGAAAAATTTTACCAACATTTGAGAAATAAAAGCTGATCCACATGCATGCCACTGCTGCAAGCAAACCAACGATAATAAATTGATCGACCTTCCAACGGCTGAGGTTGGCATTATCAAAATTTGAAACAATGCTTAATGGCTGCATTTTGAACTCATCTAACAGGTGCATAGCTTCTGTGCGTTCATCAACACCATAGGGCTCTAAAACGTTTATATGACTTATGAAATAGTGTTGCAAATATCCATCATGAATATGTTGCCTATACGTTGTTTTGATGTGCAACAATAACCCTCCAAGTGTTTTGTTATTAGGAATGGTGTACATATCGAAAGGAAGCTTTGCACTTTGCTCTGCAATCCATAAAATAATTGTCTTTAAATGATATGACTTGAGAGCTGGGTAGTTTTTCTTTTTTACTTGACTGAATTGCTTGACTGCAAATTTGATGACTGCATAACACAATTTTAATGCTCTCTTGTCAGAATGATGTTCAAATACCTTTGACTCTGCTTCTGCAAATGTCAGCCTCCAGTCAAAGTCATGTGATAAATGATGCAATGAACAATGTTTGTGAACTAGATAACAGCCTACTCTCCTGACACTGTTAATAAGCTGATAAGGGAAAATTTTTTGCACTCTTTCAAACCAATCACAGGCTATTACTTCATTGTCAAAATCTTGACTCCAAAGACAACGTCACTGTCAAATCTGAACTTGCCTCGAGGGCCATCCAACATTGATTTGAATGTTATGGCAGGGTAGTTGTACTCGATGTCCCTTCCTACAAATTCTTTTCCTATCTTTTCTGAAATCAATCGTCCAGAAAGTAAAGCTTGAGATCCAGATTTGACGATACAGTCTTGCAGAAATGCATCATATGTTGATTCTTTCATTATGATGTTACAATATCCTGGAGATGTAGGAATAATATTATCTAAGCTTATGAGTAGTGGCTTGTAAAATACATTGATATCCACATCTTGAACAAGGGAAGTATTTGACCAAGGAAATATCCCAAAATTTGTGCTTGGTAAAGGAAAAAATCCAAAACCATGATCTGCTGCACTTCCAACAAGTTGATAATGCCATTTGACTGTATCACTTGGTAGCAGTGATTTGGTGTAGTCAGACGGCAATCTACAGAAATTCAGGTATCTTGATGTCTTTCTAAGGTACCAATTGACCAACCACTGCCCACCAAAGTAGCGAAACACTGCAAATACTAATACTGGAGTGATAACTGTGATTGGGGTTGCAACAACAAGTACTAAATACAAGTTCACTCCTTCAAATATGGGAAAGTAATGGTCATATGCAATCACTGCAGTAAAAGGGGGAACAAAAAAGATCAAGAAGTACTTTCCATAATCTAATATTGATGGTGTATGCACTGCTGATCTGTGTAGGCCAGCCACTATATCCGTAAATACCGTCAGGAGATGAGCTACTAGTTCTTCAATCATCTTCAAGGAACTCTACATATGTAAGGTCTACACATACCCATCTACCTGAAAAAAGGAATGTCTATATTTACCACTTTAATTTGATATCTACCTTAATCATAATTATAACAAAAGTCTCCAACGTGATTGGCTATTGGCAGCTCTGGTTTCAGTATTAATAGGACAGTGTAAGAGGACAGTAGCCCGACAGTACATGTCATGCCTATTGAGTAAGTAATTGGACAGTATGCCCCACTATGAGCAATGCTTTCAGACAGTTTCTCATGAATGAGTTCTTTTTTCCCTCATTTCTTACAAAAAGCCGAGATCTTGGGTTTTAATTTAACAATTTTTTTTCTGTAATGATTTATTGGAAACAAAACTTCATGTGATCCAATTCTGTCTGTACCAGTAAATCACAGGGCGAGAGTCCAATCCTGCTGTGTGGTTGTCCATAATATGTTAAATCAATATAATGGACTCCACTTAGCTTATGAATAAGAGTCAATCATTAAAAAATATGTAAGAGAAAGTTTGACATTAACAAAACAACAAGCTTACTGAGGAAAACTTCGCCTTATCAAGTGAAAAGTGATTAACTGTGAAACATCAATCAATCAATCATGATTCAGTCATTTATTGGCCCCACGTACATGTATCTCAGACTGAATACGGACGTGACGGCAAACCCACTATGGCCTTCTACCGAGTTAATCTTCCCTGTTTTTAATAAAAATTTCGCCATTAATTAGTTGCAAAATTTCCCTCCTCATAACAGTTAGTGGTAAATTTCGCGTTTTTCTGAAAATTTGCATTTGTCTGATTACCGGTTTTTTATGCATGACTGTAGTGTATGTGCGCATGGCCTTGGTCTTCACCAGTTCGGGAGTATGCCAGTTTTGGAAGAAGCGAAAACAATAGTCTACGTCACCAACCATAACATGATCACCATAGCGATGGCCATTTTCAAAACATACAAAATGGCGGACAAGCGAGAGGAAAGAGTATTGACAGAAATTCTAGCTCGTTTATTCTTGTTTCATCGAGCCTTTTATTTGTCTTCTCCTTACTATGAATTCGGAAGTACCTTGAGGACAAGGAGTAACCATTCTTGCGCTATAGTTCTTCGCTTATATTATTGCGCGCTTTGTAGGCACTTCTTACTCACTGCGTATGTAATCAGTACATCGAAAATAGGTAAGCACGCTAGCAAGTTTGTGCCTATTTCTTTCATTAATTTTTTATATCATAAGAAAAAAGAATGCTTTGGAAACAACTAAAAAAGTGAGTTGTTCTATAATTTATTTCCTTATGTTTGCAAAGAGTAAGT